TGGAGCACATCCATTAAGTACTCCGATGGTTGTTCGATCACTTGATGTGAATAAGGATCCATTCCGACCTCAAGAAGAGAATGAAGAGCTACTTGGTCCTGAAGTACCATATCTTAGTGCAATTGGTGCACTAATGTATCTTGCTAATACTACAAGGCCTGACATAACTTTTTCAGTTAATGTCTTAGCAAGATATAGTTCTGCTCCTACAAGGAGACATTGGAATGGAATCAAACACATATTGAGGTATCTAAAAGGGACTACTGATATGAGCTTATTTTATGGAAATAATTGCAATCCTGATCTTGTTGGTTATGCCGATGTTGGGTATCTATCCGATCCACACAAGGCTCGATCTCAAACAGGTTATGTGTTTACCTGTGGAGGCACTGCCATATCTTGGCGATCGACTAAGCAATCAATTGTGGCTACTTCATCTAATCATGCTGAGATAATTGCTATTCATGAAGCAAGTCGAGAATGTGTGTGGTTGAGGTCTATAATACATCTTATTCGAGACAAATGTGGTGTGAAATGTGACAAGTTACCCACAATTTTGTATGAAGATAATGCAGCATGCATAGCTCAATTGAAGGGAGGATTCATAAAAGGAGATAGAACAAAGCACATTTCACCAAAGCTATTTTTCACACATGATCTTCAAAAGAATGGTGATATTAATGTGCAACAGATTCGTTCAAGTGATAATATGGCTGAGTTGTTCACAAAATCTCTACCAACGTCAACCTTCAAGAAGCTAGTGTACAAGATCGGGATGCGAAGGCTCAAGGATGTGAATTGATGCTCTCATCAGGGGGAGTTAATGCGCGTTGCACTCTTTTTCCCTTACAAGGTTTTGTCCCACTGGGTTTTCCTTGAAAAGTTTTTAACGAGGCAACCAATAGGCGCATTTGTAAACATGTGTACTCTTTTTCCTTTTCTAGAAATTTTTTTTCCCATTGGGTTTTCTTTTAGTTAAGGTTTTAACGAGGCACATTATCTGTTGAATAGACATTCAAGGGGAGTGTTATAAATAGAGTTCTATTTATGGTGAATGTCTATATTTAGAGAGATTCTAGGGTTTATTACTTGGTGGCTAAGTCATCATCTCCCTATAAATAGAGGATTCTATTCCATTGTAATTCATCCCAAAATTCAATAAGAATTCCCTCTCTCTCTTTCTCTGCAATATTGCTCTTGTCCTTTTATTGTTTTATAACAATTGTAATTTTATTAAATTTTTACACATAAATTTATACTCCGTGTCGAAAATACTAGATTCAAATTAAAATGCCCCAAAGCTGGATCCAGTTGAAGGGGAGCCTTAGCGTAACTGGTAAAGTTGCTGCCAGTGGCGAACCCAGGATTTTGTGCAAGCAGGTTCAATCTTAGAAATACATAACTTTAGTCGTAAAATATAGTTGTTAAGTGGGTTCAAATAAAATATTTATACAAAATTTACACAGCTTTAATCTTAATTTTGTACATATACACAATATTATTTTTTTATGAAGCGCTTTCAGTTGAACGCTCTTGCCACCACGTGCGTCCGCCACTGATTGCTAGCATGTGACCAGGAGGTCACGGAATCGAGAGCGTTTGACGTTGATAACGAATACGATCTTAGCTGGGGAAAAGCAAAAGGTGATTAGTCATTAGATTCAATTATAGAGGCTTGCATCATTATGCGTCACAAAGAATGAACAAACATGATTGCTAATGTTCTTTCCCGCATGATTCTTGGAAATGAATATATTTTAGTGTGAGCTTGTCCCTTTATTTATCACATTTAATTAATTAATTAATTAATTATATACTAACTTTATAAATAATTTCCACATTATTTGTATATCTTAATTGATTATAGCAAATTACTTAGTCAAATTCCTATGTTACCTAATTTAGATTAGTATAAACAGTCAAATATTTTTTCAAGTTATCTTAATCTTTTTTACAGAGAATGATTGCACAGAAGTTCAAGCTCTGTTCTCGTTGGGATCACAAAAGACTTTTTGATAACCATATGTGGAATTTTGCACAACTCTACTTTTAAAATGTGTTAGTGTGTGATTATAATATAATATAAGTAAATATTTATTTGCACCCAACAATCCAATTAATGCAAGACACATATTTTTCTTACACATATTTTTTATATAATCGTGATTGTGTTAGACATTTACTTTAATTTTTAACCGTTAAAAATATTATATATGTATATTCACGCGTAAAACCCCCAAAATTCACCTCTGGTCAGGGCGGATCTTCCGTATGACATATCGGTTCACGTGAGCCCGGTAAGTTTTGCTCAGATATTGTATGTATCAAAATTTTCATTAAATATTTATAAATATTTTGATTGTGAACCCAATTATTATTGTAAGTTTACTTAAATTAGAAACCTATAAACTTCAAATTCTGATTTCGCTTTTGCCGTTGATGCATGCCTATTTGTGAAGTTGTCTAATAATTTAACAGAAAAGACAATTCTTACCCTACACCCCACATAATATAATCAATTCGCATACAACTAGATTTCGCACATATAGATTTTTGTTACATTTGTAAACAAGAACTAAGTTGCATATTTTCAAAAGGACTCATTAATTGATAATTTAAATAAGCATTTAAGAATATTAATCTCAAAATCGAAACAAAAAAAGAATTTTGATTATATTAAATATCAATATTTCTCACATATATTGACGAAGTTTTAAGGAATCGCAAGCCTTTCAAACTACAATACCTTCGCACTCTAGTATTTTGTAATATAGTCTCTAAATTATTATTTATTTGTTTATTTTCCTTCCCTTTTGATTTCCATTTGCAAGAGCTATTGCTCCTTTGTTGGCTCGAGTTCCCGATTTAATTACAGCTGTTCTCGCTAAAGCCCGATCTGATCCCGCTTGAAATAATATGTGCTGAGCAACCCACTATTGTCTTAGTCTCTAAATTATAATTCTTCAACAACAACAACCACAACCCAGTAAAATCCCACCAGTTGGGTCTGGGGAGGGTAGGGTGTACGCAAACTTACCCCTATTCTTGAGGGGTAGAGAAGCTGTTTCTGGGAGACCCTCAGCTTAGATACAATAGATCTGTGACAACAAAACCCAAAAAATAATCAGTAACATGAGAGACAACAAATAAATGGAAAAACAGTAACACAAATATTATGCAAAGGTGTGAAACACAACATAAATCGCTAGCAGTGCTAGACAAAACACTATCATACTCGTCGGTACAAAGAGGGAAATCGGGACAAAGAGGAAAACCGCTCGACTACCCTTTCACCTACAACCCTAATGCTCGACCTCCACACCTTCCTATCAAGAGTCATGTCCTCGGAAATCTGGAGTCGCGCCATGTCCTGTCTGATCACCTCACCCCAATACTTCTTGGGCCGCCCTCTACCTCTTCTCCTACCTGTCAAAGCCAACCGCTCACACCTCCTAACCGGGGCATCGAGGCTTCTCCTCTGCAGCTAAATCATAATTCTTCGGCTAAACAAAAATCATTCACTTGGCAAATAAAGTGATCGCCCTCCCATGCTTTTTCTCACTGGTTGAGCTTTCTAAAAAGGAAACGACGCATTTATCCAGTATTTAATTATAGGTATTAGCTAATATCAATTTAAACTTTATATCAAAATAATGGTATTAATTATTTATCCCACATTGAATGTAGGATAATAAATTTAGGATTATAAAACTTTATTGCTAATCAAATGATCGCTAAGTATTATGCAATATAAATTTAAAATATATTTTTCCTAATATATTAGTACTAGTAGTTATTTCAAAAATAAAAAAAAGTCCGCTCCTGAGGCCCACAGCCATAAGCCCATCCAACTAAAAAAGGAAGAAAATGAAACGTTACTTTTTTTCCGGCCTCCGCTTTCTCCGCCACATTGAAATTTTAAATATTTTTTATTTGGACAAAATTGCCCCTTTCATTCAATCTAATTCCCTCTATATACCCTTTTTAATTAGTCCAAATAAAAGCTTAGCATTTCGCCCTCTTCCTCATATTCATATTCATATACATACATACACAATATTTCATACTCAAAAAATCTCTATTGAATTATTCTTTGATTCTTCCAAGTTATACATACACAAACTTTTGCCGGCTCTTACTCCGTCAACTCTTTGATTCAGTAATCTCTTTTTCTTTCATTTTCCTTTTTTCAGCACATGCGGATCTTGATTTAAATTGAGTGGATATGCAGCCTTTTGTGTGTGTGTGTGAGTTCTGACAATTTTATATTTCTGCTTCAAGTTTTTAACATATATGCAATTCTCTTAATTACATGTAGGCATATGTGTTCTTTGTATCCTGCAAGTGTTTTCTTGTGATTTTGTGGAGAAATTAGTTAAGAAATTTAATTGGAATTAAAATTGGATTTAACCCTCCAGGTGGGATTTTCCTTTTTTTTTTTTAGATTACTTGCCATAAATGGTTATAGACTAATTATTTGTTTTTTTTTTCCAGAAGGATTTGGAATAACTTTTGATAACTTTATGAAGCTCTTTGAATTGTTCTTGTGCTGTTTGATTGTGGGTATTTTATATATGTTTGTCTCTAACAGTAACTTCAATGCTAAAAAAAGAAGAAGGTGATTTTGACAAGTAAAGACATTTAGCTTCTTGTCTTAAGGTTTATTGAAAAGGGTTTATTCATCTTTTTTGTTTTTGTGTTATTCTTTTTCCTTTCAATTTGATGTGATAATTTATGTTTTGTTCTTGGTTGTATTCGGTTTAATACTTGATTTAGTAATTTGATGTAATAATTCATAAACTTGTGAAGGGTTTTTCTTTTTCATGTATATTATATATGCATTAATAATCCCAGGTGGATATGAATAATTAAAGGGTGTTTCTAGGGTTTAAGAGGAATAGGGGTACTCTGGTCTTTTAGATTATGATATACTAGTATCTTTCTTAGATTGACAGAGAGTACTCATTACTGTTTCTGACACTAATGATTTTTTATCAGGAGTAAGAAACAACTTGATTGATTCTTTTGGGATTCTCATGAATTTTTTTTCCCTTGATGAAAGGGTTGGTGAAATAAATGCTCCTTTGCTTCTCCCTTGTTAAAACTCATGGTAGGCTTTTCTTTTTGACAACGGTGGTGTTTGGGCTAGTTTGCACGCACATCGACTAATTCCTCCACCAACATAGTTATCGGGTAACTTTGTCCTCATTGTAGCTTATATACCGCACAACAAGCAGATGTGATTTACATTTTCTGCTTTGAGTTGTGCGATTAGTTTTCTTTTAGCCTTCTGAGAGAGTAGGGCAGATACTCAGGAAAATAAGTTTGTTAGTTCTTGAAAACTAATTGATCAACTTGTACCTCAGAACTAGCAGGTAAAAAGTTAGTTTTTGGTGGGTTAAATAATATAATGCTCCTCAGTCAGATTGGTCATCTGAATGCGTTGAAGAAAAAACATGTACAGGATATATTATATTTTATGTTGAAGAAGAACCATGTAGAAAGAGAATTCTTTTACTTTCTTTTCTAAGTATTTGGTTAGCTGCAATATTTGCATGAATTTTTTATTGGTCAGTGGTTGTTTATGAGTGTTATCTGGTGGTTTTCTTGAAGTGCACTTTTGATGTCATCAGTTTTACAATTGAAAACTGTTATTTATCGTGATGTGTGTTAGAATTAAACGGCATCTTTTTAAGCGTGAATTCGATTGTTTTGATATAAAGGATTAATGTAGCCAATTGAGGTGTAGTTTATCAATTGATGATTGTGGGTCAAGTTTAGGATAAAATAAGGTTCAGTCCAATGTTGTTCCAATATCTTTGTAAACTTTGAATTAATCTTGCAGTATATTCACAATGTCCAGAGCACTGTGTGTTTTTCCGCTCTTTGTCCTCTGAAATATCATGGACTTGTTTGTTTGTGCAGATTCATGTGCAGTGTCCGTACATAGAGATGAAGAAGTTCTTCTTTTTCCGAACATCATCTAATGATGTAAACAACATCCCTTCACCACCATCGAAGGACAAATCATCAGATAACATCAACAAATCAAAAAGCAAAAAGGAAGTTTCTTCTCCAAGTCTTAGAAGGAGCGTTTCATTGTCATCTGGATCCTTTTATGACAGTGGGTTAGGACACAGGAACTTCAGGGATCCGAGCAGATCTCCATGTCACAGTAAGAGAGTTCATCCTAAGAAATCAGGTCGTGATCCATGCCGCCAGTATGTATCTCATTTTCTGTAGCTGATTTTTCACACTTACACTGATGTTTCAATTTGCATTTGCTTCTCCAAACTAATGACACATATTTTCATTACTTTTGTCAGTGGTCGTACTCGTACTCCTGAGAGGCAGCCCCCAGAGAATTTCTCTCAGACATGTGATACAGAAAATGATTATTTCAGAACACAGTATGATCCATCAGAGAGCTCTTCTTATTGCTCCAGTAATGTCTCTAGCAAAGTTTTAGATCGGTATATAGATGGAGAGCAAGAGCAGGAAAAAAGTGCCTCAGCCATTCACTATCCTACGGAAGATCATATCGAGATTGGATACGCCGGCAGACAGCTGCCGCCAAGAGTTCACCATACTGCTCCTGCTTCGCCACCCGGTGCCAGGAAGCAGAGACCAATATCTCAATCTTTCAGAGAAGCAAAAGCATCTAAACTATGTTTTACATCTGGAGAGATGGATGAGATTGGTTTTGAGCATGAGTCTCCGCGAAAATTAGCAAAGAAAGTGGTTGAGAGACTCTCTCAGTCTCGGTCGATGGCAAAAATAAATTCAGAAGATTTTGATGCTGACGGTCCAATTACTATTGAAGATATCTACAGTGGAAATTTAAGTAGATGTCCAAGTGTATGTTCTGATGGTGTTTCCCGGAAGAGTAGTTCTGCAAATGAGTCTAATGGTAGGATGTATGAGGAGATTCCAGTCCTGTGCGAGAGAAATTATTTGGGGATGGAAGGCGAATCAGATTTAGTATTACTGAGAAAACTTAAGGAAGCTGAGGATCGTGCTGTGTTTCTCTCGGAAGAGCTTGAAGAGGGAAACTTTCTTCACGGCAGAGGCCTTAGTGTTCCAATGCTGATTCAGACTATTAGAAGCTTGACAGAGGAGAAGGTACAAATGGCTTTTGAAGTTTCAAGCATTCTGCGGGATCAAGTTGCTGAAAGGGCTTCTGCTAAGGAAGAAGCCAGACTACTAAAGGCAGAATTAGATTCACAGACACGAAGATTGGAGACAGAAAAGAATGAGTTACAATCAGCTCTGGAAAAGGAGCTGGATAGAAGATCGAGTGAGTGGTCTCTAAAAGTTGAGAAATACCAAGTTGGAGAACATAAACTCCGTGAAAGGGTGAGGGAGATTGCAGAGCAGAATGTGTCTCTACAAAGGGAAGTCTCTTCACTTAATGAGAAGGAGGTTGATAATAGAAGCAAGATATCATTTTCAGAAAAACAACTTGAAGAATTGACTAAAAGAATAGAGGAAGTGTCAAAGGAGAATCATAATTTACAGCAGCAGCTTTCTCAGTTACAAGAGGAATACCGAGTAGCTCAAGACGATCGAGATTATGTCCGCGAAATCTATGAGGAAAAGGTTAACGAATGCGAGGACCTGAACAGATCTATTGCTAGATTGCAAAGGACTTGCAATGAACAAGAGAAGACAATCGATGTTCTACGAGGATTTTGTGAGGATGTTGGCAAGAAGAGTCCAGCAAACTACGACAACCAGTTGGAGAAGTTGCAAGTAGAGCAAATAAGATTGGTAGGTGTAGAGCGTGCTCTAAGGAAGGAGGTGGAGTCTTGTAGGCTTCAAATTGATTCTCTACGCCATGAAAACATTTGCTTATTGAATCGTTTAAGAGGCAATGGAAAGGAGGGTGGGTTCTCAACATTTAGGCTTGATCAGGAATTGTGCAATCGAGTTTGCTGCTTGCAAAATCAGGGGCTCAATTTGCTTAGGGAGAGCAGCCAGCTTTGTGGAAAGCTAATGGAGTACACAAAAGCGAATGTCAGACAAAGTGGTGGGGGAATTGACGGTCAATTTGTAATTGAAAGCAATGCAAAAATCCAGGGTCTTAAGAGGGGAATTGAGACTTTGACTAGCGGTTTGCAGACAGTGTCATCTGTGATAAATGAGAAGTCCAACCCAGTGCATTCAGATTCTAAGCCATCTGTAAGTTGGTGCTATTGTTTCGCAAGCTGCTAATCATGCTCATGTGTTGTTGATTAATCTTGCTAGCTCTTTGTTTGGCTTTGTTTTAGGAAATGAAGCAATTAGAGCTCAAATCAGAGACTTTGCTGACAACCGTGTTAAGGGAAAAGCTTTATTCCAAAGAGATGGATATAGAGCAACTTCATGCTGATCTGGCAGCAGCAATTAGAGGTAAAGACATCCTCAAATTTGAAGTGCAAAATGCGCTGGATACTCTTTCTTGTGCCAAACACAAGATGAAAGATCTCGAGCTTCAGGTAAGCAGGCAATATTAAGATCTTGTAGCAAAGGGAACTTTTTTTTCCTGTTTTCAACTTCGGATTGCTTAGGAGCTTTTGTTTGCATGTTACTTTCTCTGCATTAGCTTTCTACTTGTCTTTGGCTTTTCTTTTTAAGGTTCATCTTTGTTCTATCTGAAATTCATGGTTTTCTTGGTGGAATTGCATACTTGAGTTACTGGCATGTGAATATATCCGCTGATTCCATTGTGGTTATTCATGATTTTTTTTCTTCTTTTTTATTTTTTATGGTTGATTCTGGTAGATGATAAAGAAGGATGAGAATTTGAATCAGCTCCAAAATGAATTGCAAGAATGTATGAAGGAACTTAGCGTCGTGAAGGAGATACTACCAAAAGTATCTCAGGAGAGAGATGCAATGTGGGAGGAAGTTAAGAACTGCAGTGAGAAGAACATGTTGTTGAACTCTGAGATCAGCATGTTGAAAAAGAAGGTAGAGGCTCTCGACGAAGACATTCTTATGAAAGAGGGTGAAATCACAATCTTGAAGGACTCGATGAGCAAACCTTTCGACCTTCTTGCAAGTCATGATTCTAGTAGAGAATTTCTGTTTGAGTGATTGATGGCTAAATAAAGGATTTTGTTCATTAACTAGTGTTCATACTTCTCGTATACTTTCTGGTTTTACTCCCTTTCCCTTTTTGTTGGATACTTGTTAAATAGAAAGTTTGCTTCCCCCCTCTTTTGAATCCTCAATTCAATTGTAAACATTTCTTTTACTTGTGAATTCTGCGTTCAAGACCATGAACTGTATTTTTCTTTTGTTTACCTTTTTTTTGGTGTTGTAAAGTATTGGCTGCCTTTTTCTGGAATAATAGTTGGCAAAGGGCCATAGGAACATTAGATTGGGTATACCTCTTGCTGTTGAAACTCCAAAGTCCCATCTCCATGGAGAGTAAGGAAGTAAATAAATAATGGAAAGAAACTGTGAAATGCTCCTTTGCACGTGTATGACGAGTCATATAGTCCACGGTTTTGTGTTGGTTAAAGGTCATTGTTACGGAGATCCATAGAAAGTATTATGATGCAAAATATGTTTATATCTTTTTGAATCCGCCTTTTAGAGGTAGGGGTAAGGGTAAGATCTGCGTACACACTACCCTCCCCAAACCCAACTTATGGGAATACACTGAGTTTTTTGTTGTTATTGTTTTATCTTTTTGAATCTGTAGACAATGGACGTTACATCAACCTGATTAACTATTAGGAAATCCAAAATAATAAAAAACCGAAAATCTATAAAAGCACTGGTAATCTCCATCAATCCAGGAAATTCACGTGATCTGCAACAATATATCTTCAAAATTTTGTATTAGTCTTCACAGCTTAAATACCAGCTCGCTGAGATCTTTTTGGCAAATGTTTATCAGGTACCAAATTTCCATTAATATATTTATAGTATTGATGCATATTTGATTGATTGATTTAAATGTAGACCACTTCGGTGGATTCCAATTTTACCATAAGATGGAGATTTGGTGACCACTTAACCATGCACTTCCTCGTTACGTAGTAAACGCATTTGCTTGATGTAGATTTGCTTAGATTATGATACAAGTGAAAGAACGCTAAAATTTTCTTTACAGAGGTGCAGAAAGGAAAAATAAAGGATTAATAAAAAAAGTGCTTTGGCCCATTTTGGGGCCACATTTTTATATGTAAAAATAGCATGGTCTAGCCAGTTTTCGGACTGGTCATTCAAAAATAGTCAGCGTTTACCAAGTCAATGAAAAATAGCCATTATTTTGCTGCAATAGAGACCGGTCCAGCATAATATACTGTAGTTCGGCGCACCTGTGTATGAACTTCCAGCATATTATGCTGGACCGGTATATTTTGCTGGCTCCAGTATAATATACTGGAGACTGGAGCACCGATGCTCCAAACTCCAGTATATTATGCTGGACCGGTATATTATACTGGAACTCCAGTATATTATGCTGGAGTATTTTTCCGATTTTGAACAGTGTTTTCGTTTAGATTTATCTTTACATGAAAAGTGGCTAAATTTCGATTACTTTTGAAACTGAGCTATTTTTGAACGACCATTTGTAAATCTGGCTATTTTTGAATTTCTCCCTTTTTATATCGTTGCTAATAAGGCGCTGTTTGAGATGCTGAATTTCTCCTCTATCTTCCGATGTTATGGTTGATATAACTTGGAGACAAGCCCCGCCACAGCTATATATACAGCCAGAATAATAAGAGAGGATAGCTATTCATATTTGCATGGCCCGAATTACCCTGTATATGCGCTAGTGGGATACAACAGTTACCCAACGAGAAATAGTCAAGTTGGCTCAGACACCACCATTATGAAAATAAAATAAATTAAATATTCATATTTACTGTCATGGGCGGCTTTCCAGCCATGCCCCATGACCCCTTGGGCGCGCCCCGTGGCGTCCTATCAAGCCTCCCAATGCCTAGCGCCACGGACGGCCCCGTGGTCTTGGCCGCGCCAGGTGACAAGCGCGCAGGTGCCTCTGTCGCCCCACCGATATCCCTCGCCAGCGCCAAGCCGCAGGCAGATGCCAACAGCGCCGCGCGCGCAGACAACGCCACGCGCGCAGACTGTGATGCCAAAGACACTGCTGCTGACAACGGACTTGCTGCTGCCTTATAGAAAACTAAGTCATTTTCATTGTAAATATAGAGTAGTTTTATTTCATGTACTTCCCTTATGTTTCTCTAGCTTAGTCAAGTCTAGTCTTGTAGCTTTGGATTATTTTTTTTAAGCATTATTAGGGGGGATCAAGCAATCAAAACTTTCTAGCAAGCAAGCAATTCTCTGTACTGGTGTCTCTCTCCCCCTCGACACCGCGTTGCTTTTCTGTAATAGCTTTCACTAATGCAATCAAGCTTTCTTTCATTCTGAATTCTCATTTCTGTTCTCAATTGCTCTTGACATTTGGTTTTCCCGTACGGCACTGACTATCTCGTCTAGCATACGGAGGGGACCTCAGTTGGCGGACAACAACTGCACTGACATCAGTTGCTTAGCCTTACGTCGCCCTTCCAAGGAATCTCAGGAAGGCGCCGCGTAACATTACTCATGTTATAGTCAAAACCAACGGGCCATTTTGGCTGGAGCTTTTGTCAAAATTAGGTTTATCAAATGTATAAATTATAACTTCGACAAATGTTAAAGTTCGCACAGTTTAAAATGCTTTTAGACATATCAATTTGATAAGTGGGGGGTTTTCTTTCTTTTCCCCTCCGAACAAAATAACAAAAGAGACTTTATGACCCTATCATACTGCATACATGCTCAGTTTCTCTATGGTACTAGCTTTGCATTTTTTCAGGGTGCTCCAGGCCGAAGTTGACATTGAAAACATCAGTCGCGACTCCGAGGGAGACCGGCAGACGGCAGCCACAGAGGCAGCCGAAATTTTTGAGAAATTCGAGGGGCTCCAGCAGGAGCGCACCGAGGATTTAGCCGACAATGCACAAGAGGCAGACAGAGTGACTGTCATGCAACAAACTATTGACAAATTGACAGACCAACTCAATGTTGTCAATGCTGCTTTACGCAATTCTGCTTCTGCGACACAGGAACTGAAAATTCCTGAGCCAAAGCCATACAGTGGAGCTAGGAATGCCAAGGAAGTGGAGAACTTCATCTTTGACGTCGAACAGTATTTCGATGCTGTTGGGGGCCTAGAGAAAGCTAAGAAGGTAGCAACTGCTGCCATGTATCTTCAGGGCGATGCTAAGCTCTGGTGGCGGGTGAAGTACGAAGCCATCAAGGCCGGTGAAGATACTCTCGAGACATGGGCAGAACTGAAGGCAGCCATACGCCTACAATTCTTCCCCGAAAATGTTGAATACAATGCAAGGAGAAAACTACGGGAGCTCTGCCAGACAAAATCAGTGCGGGACTACGTGCGGAAATTCTCCGCGCTCATGCTAAGCATACGCGACATGGGGGACAAAGACAAGCTCTTCACCATTCCTGGAAGGGTTGAAACCTTATGCCCGTGTGGAGCTACAAAGACAGAGGGTAGATACCCTTCCCAAGGCGATCCAAGCAGCTGAATGCCTTGGGGACTACCAAATGGAAGCTCGGAAGGACAGGCCCCAGCCGCCTGCCCGAGCGGGATTCAAAGGGGGCCAGCCTAGCAATGGTGGCCCTAGCAAAAATGGGGGAGATCGAAACTCAAACAAATCTAGAGCTCCTTCCTCCGGCTGCAACAGTGCTGCGTCAAACAACAATGATCGGGCGAGAAAGCCTCCTTCAGGATGCCGTCATTGCGGCGGTCCACATTGGAACAATGAGTGCCCACATGCACAGATGAATGCCCATCAGGCTATTGATGATGGGACTGATGACGACTCAGACGATGCGGACCAGACTGAACCAGTAGGTGCCTTCAATGCAATCGTTGGTTCCATTTCTGAGGCATTAGCGGAGACCAGTGCTGGTATTCGTAAGAAGGACCCATGTCCCGTCACCAAGAAAGGGAAAAAGAAGGCGAATGAAGAGACTCCTCATAAACAAGAGAGGACCTTAATGTTCGTCGAGATGAAGGTGAATGGCAAGCCCATTCAGGCTATGATAGACACGGGTGCTACCCACAACTACTTAGCCTCGACTCAGGTGGAGCGCCTTGGACTAGTTGAAAGGTAAAGGTAGTGTCAAGGCTATCAACTCACCTTCCCAGCCAGTAGGTGGAATAGCTAAAGAAGTACCGGTGAAGCTTGGCCCTTACGAAGGAAAATTCAACCTGCGAGTGGTGATCATAGATGACTTCGAGCTGATTGTTGGGCTGGAATTCCTAAGGCAAACCAACACCATGCCTGTACCATTTGCAGACATGCTACTGATGATGGGTACCAATAGGGCCAAGCCTTGCATTATCCCGTGCCTGCCCATGAAGATGGCCGTTGAGAACATCTCGGCCTTGCAGTTGAAGAAGGGGGTCAAAAGGAATGAACCTACGTTCCTGGCAACCCTCTGCATTGAAGATATAGAACGCTCCTCGGGTCCCATTCCTGAACCCGTGAAGGAGTTACTACTGGAGTTTGAAGATGTCATGCCACAAGACATGCCAAAGCGGCTCCCGCCTAGGCGCACTGTGGACCATGAAATTGAGTTGGTGCCGGGCGCGAAGCCACCTGCCCGGGCGCCTTACAGAATGTCACAACCCGAACTCACCGAGCTTCGGAGACAATTGACGGAAATGCTAGATACAGGGATCATTGTACCCTCCAAGTCCCCATATGGGTCCCCTGTTCTATTCCAAAAGAAACATGATGGCAGCCTGTGACTCTGTGTGGATTATCGAGCTCTAAACAAAATCACCGTGAAGAACAAGTACCCTATTCCCCTAATGGCGGACTTGTTTGATAGACTGGGTGGTGCTACGGTGTTCACCAAGATAGATCTGAAGACAGGTTATTGGCAAGTTCGGATTGCAGAGGGTGATGAACACAAGACGACTTGTGTGACAAGATATGGGTCGTACGACTTCCTGGTCATGCCATTCGGCTTGACCAACGCCCCTGCTACGTTTTGCACTCTCATGAACCAAGTCTTCCGAGAGTACATCGACGAATTTGTGGTGGTCTACTTAGATGACATTGTGGTATATAGCCAGACATTGGAAGAACACCTGGTACACCTGCGGAAGGTCCTAGCACGGTTGCGAGAACATGAACTATATGCAAAGTTATCCAAGTGCTCCTTTGCTCAGAAGCAAATTGATTTCCTCGGACATGTCATCGAGGAAGGACGCATCAAGATGGACCAACAGAAAATCCAGGCCATCACAGATTGGCCGCCACCTAAGGATGTCCACGCCTTGAGGGCGTTCCTTGGCCTATGCAACTTCTACCGGCGGTTTGTGAAGAACTACTCACTTATCGCAGTGCCATTGACAGAACTCCTCAAAAAGGTCACACCTTGGGATTGGGGACCAAGGAGAGCAGAGGCCTTCAACGCATTAAAAGCGGCTATGTCTAGTAGTCCCGTCTTGGCCCTTCCTGATTTGGCCAAGCCGTTCGAGGTACAAACAGATGCTTCTGACTATGCACTCGGTGGAGTCCTGCTACAAGAAGGGCACCCTGTAGCGTACGAGAGTCGGAAGCTGAAGGATGCAGAGCGGCGCTATGCCGCCCATGAGAAAGAATTATTGGCTGTCGTCCACTGCTTGCGCCTCTGGAGGCACTATCTGCTGGGAACCCCGTTCGTGGTCAAGACAGACAACACAGCTGTTAGCCATTTCATGACCCAGCCGAAGCTGAATGGTCGACAGGCCAGGTGGCAGGAACTCCTAGCTGAATTCCACTTCAACTTGGAGTATCGCAGTGGAAAGACCAATCATGTTGCTGATGCGCTCAGTCGGAGAGCTGATCTAGCATCGGTGTGCCTACTCGCCACCCTAAGGGGGAGCGAAGTAGCCACATCCATCAAGGACCAAATACGGGATCTACTCATCAAGGATCCTGCTGCTCAGTATTTGGTTGATTTGGTAGGACAGGGCAAGACTCGCCAGTTCTACATGGAAGATGGTTTTCTGAAAGTAAAAGGGAACCGACTTTATGTTCCTAAAGGAGGAGATTTGCGGAGGACTCTTCTAACGGAATGTCATGATACTCTGTGGGCCGGCCATCCTGGTGAAGAACGCACCATGGCGTTACTTCGTCGTGCCTATTATTGGCCTCAAATGGCCGATGATGTCGCTCAGTATGTGAAGACTTGTCTAGTATGCCAGAAGAACAAGTTGGACCGCTTGACACAAGCGGGACTCTTGGAACCACTTGCTGTCCCAAAGAGACCTTGGGAAAGCGTTTCCCTGGATTTCATCACCGGATTGCCCAAGGTCGGAGATCTCACAACCATCTTGGTTGTGGTGGTCCGGTTTTCTAAGTATGCCACCTTTATTGCAGCCCCACAATATATATCAGCAGAAGATACAACTCGACTCTTCTTCTCTCATGTCGTCAAATATTGGGGCCTGCCCAAAGACATTGTTAGTGACCGCGACTCACGCTTCACTAGCAACTTTTGGACCCAACTCTTCAAGTGCCTTGGGTCAAAATTGAGTCACAGCTCAAGTTTTCATCCGCAATCTGATGGCCAGACGGAGCGGTTCAATGGTATATTGGAGGAATACCTCCGCCACTTTGTAACCGGATTGCTGAAGAATTGGGTGAAGCTTCTGGATGCTGCTCAACTGTGTTTCAATTCACAAAAGAGCTCTAGTACCAACAAAAGCGCTTTTGAAATTGTTACCGGACAGCAACCGCTACTCCCACACACTGTGAATGCACCAAACATGGCTAAATCTCCTCGAGCTGCCAACTTCTCAAAAGAGTGGAAGCGGAATTTGGAGATAGTGTGGAGCTATCTTGTCAAAGCTCAAAAGCGGATGAAGAGGCATGCTGATCAGAATCGTCGCTTTGTTGAATATCAAGTAGGAGACAAAGTGATGGTCAAAATCCCAAAGCGGTACTTATTTGCGGGGGTCCATGACCCTCGTCTATTGCAAAAGTACATTGGACCGTTGTCCATTGAAAGGCGCATTGGGAAAGTTGCATACCGGGTGGATACCCCAGCTTGGTGGAAAATTCATCCTGTCTTCCATGTCAGTCTCCTGAAACCTTTTCGGGAAGACACGGAGGATCCTTCAAGGAGCCAGCTTACACCCAGTATTCGAGGTCCCAATTCAACCGGGAAAAGGCGTGTTGAAGCTATCCTTGATGACAGAGTGATTCATGCCTCAAGGAAAGATCACCGAGAGTTCTTGGTGAAATGGCAGGGCTGTGATGCAGAAGAGAATACTTGGGAGAGGGGAACAAACCTCAAAGCCTACAAGAGCCTCATTGAAGATTATTTTGCAAGTAAGGCGCCGAGGACGTCACAACTCAGGTGGGGGAGAATGTCATGGGCGGCTTTCCAGCCATGCCCCATGACCCATTGGGCGCGCCCCGTGGCGTCCTATCAAGCCTCCCAATGCCTAGCGCCATGGACGGCCCCGTGGTCTTGGCCGCGCCAGGTGACAAGCGCGCAGGTGCCTCTGTCGCCCCACCGATATCCCTCCAGCGCCAAGCCGCAGGCAGATGCCAACAGCGCCGCGCGCGCAGACAACGCCACGCGCGCAGACCGTGATGCCAAAGACACTGCTGCTGACAACGGACCAGCTGCTGCCTTATAGAAAACTAAGTCATTTTCATTGTAAATATAGAGTAGTTTTATTTCATGTACTTCCCTTATGTTTCTCTAGCTTAGTCAAGTCTAGTCTTGTAGCTTTGGATTATTTTTTTTAAGCATTATTAGGGGGGATCAAGCAATCAAAACTTTCTAGCAAGCAAGCAATTCTCTGTACTGGTGTCTCTCTCCCCCTCGACACCGCGTTGCTTTTCTGTAATAGCTTTCACTAATGCAATCAAGCTTTCTTTCATTCTGAATTCTCATTTCTGTTCTCAATTGCTCTTGACATTTGGTTTTCCCGTACGGCACTGACTATCTCGTCTAGCATACGGAGGGGACCTCAGTTGGCGGACAACAACTGCACTGACATCAGTTGCTTAGCCTTACGTCGCCCTTCCAAGGAATCTCAGGAAGGCGCCGCGTAACATTACTCATGTTATAGTCAAAACCAACGGGCCATTTTGGCTGGAGCTTTTGTCAAAATTAGGTTTATCAAATGTATAAATTATAACTTCGAAAAATGTTAAAGTTCGCACAGTTTAAAATGCTTTTAGACATATCAATTTGATAAGTGCGGGGTTTTCTTTCTTTTCCCCTCCAAACAAAATAACAAAAGAGACTTTATGACCCTATCATACTGCATACATGCTCAGTTTCTCTATGGTACTAGCTTTGCAAGTATATTTCCTTTTCCCCTCGAGTTCGTATTAGAAGCACAAGATCTAGGATCAGCACTGCAATAGTTGTAATGTCCCGCGAGCATGAATATAAATGAAAGGAAGGATAACTTTAATTCATAATAGAGACATGAAAAACTTCAGCATTAGTAGCTGCTACTGGTAGACAAGGGATATTATGTCTAATGTACATGTTTATATTATGTTGAGAATTACATGACCTGTGCTACCTGTAAGCAGCTTACAGCGGCAACTATCAAAAGGACATAGCCACCAACTTATGGATGTTGATTCCAGAATTCAGCAGGCTTGCGATGCTGAAAAAGGAAAAGATTCAAAGCTATGTGAAAGGAAGAATAACGAATTACTCAAATGTTTAAAAGACAAAATATGAGCTGTGGTAGGCATGCACAAATAGAGATGAAAACGGAAACCTCCAAATTGAACAATTGAAGTTAATGAAGCTTATTAGTATCCATTGAAACTAATTACAGTATCCAATCCAAAAGCAACACCGGACAGATATATTGATAAAGAAGAAAACACCTTGTATTTCTGCAAATGGATGAAAATAAATATCCATCCTTTATACACAGTAGCAGACTTTTCTTACCTTAGACACTGGCATCTTTGCTTGGACTGAATCTATTAATGAGAAGTCAATATCTGCAACAGTAATACCTGTTGACGTCCGATCTGAAGAAACAAAATGAATTTGTCAATGGAGTACACTTGATTCTCTGGCTGTTGGGAACAAACACATTAAGGAAAACATGTCATTAAAGAAAGAAGGCAGATGATGGATTTGCCAGCTTAGTGCTTATATCACCATGAAAAGAAAAAGGAATTTTCCTTTTTTAAATACTAAGGTGGATATATTGGATCTACAGTCAAACTCTACAGCATTCAGAAATCTAAGAAACAAAAAGAACTCGGTAATCTAACTCCAGCGTTGTCCATTCGTCATTCCTCATATAAGGCCGTTTAGCCGAAGCAGATCCAGGAGTTCGATTATGCACTCCATTTTCAGACAATAAAGGCAGTGGCCATCAGTGTTCATGCTTAGTAGCATTATATGAGAATGATTAGAGAAATTATTCATCAATGTTGTTAACCTAAGCAAACTTTTCACACACCATATTTTGTTATGAAGCAAAAAACTTCATGAGGTTCCCTCGCAATTCCATTAGACTCCAGAACTTGTAATCATAGGTACCAAAAGCTTCACATAACAAAGAGAAGCTAGACTTTGTTGAGGGTGTGTGTGGTGTGGGTGGGGGGGGGGGGGGGGGGGGGGGGGGGGCTTAGAGCAAACAATTACAAAGAAGCTATGTTGTTCGGACTCTCCGAAAATGTTGCCTGGTGTGTGTCGATCCTCCAAAAGCAGTGTATTTTTGAAGGATCCGACATGGGTGCGGCATCATTTTGGAGAATCTCGCAAAATAGCAAAGAAGAATAAGCTTCAAAATTACATGTTACAAGTGTTATTCCTATAATACAGATAACAATGTTAATAAAAACTTGAAGCAACTATCTATAAGAAATGGTCCGCTTTGGAAGTCCAAGTGGTGAAGCCAAAACCATCAGCAAAGACTTGATAATAACTTCCCCTTTTGCTCTCAAAGCGCCAGTCTCTTGCTCGTGGGATAAAATCATTGTCGATGCTCAACACATTAAACAGAACAAAGAATTACAAGAAATGAGGCGAATGGAATTAAATGTTACCTGATAACCGACCAACTATTGTTCCCCACGGATCAATTATTAAGGTATCTCCATAGCTTTCCCTTTTTTCATTATGCTTCCCTGCTTGAGCAGCAGCTATGACCTGTTAAGATGTTAATCATAACTATCCACAACAGACACAAAGCCAAGTAGGCAAAAAATATCAAAAGAGAGATTAACAAGAAATAACAATTAACTTTAAGGGATTTTTTGTTCGACCATTAGGAAGAAGGTTAATCTGATAATTTCACTACATCTAATGCATCACTGTCAACATAATGCTATCCAAAAGAGCTTTAACCTCTTTACTACAAAGATATCCCAAAAGTTGATGGCAAACAAACTCCCACTTCTTAGGAAGAACAAACAATACCAAAAAATGTAGAAAACAACTAATGCAAAAATGAGTAAAGCGAGATTTCCTGCGATTTTTGCAAATAATTCACCACTTTGAAGAATGTTTTTCAAGACTACAAACAATGGCGGATCCACATGGTAAAATGTAGTACACTTGCACCCATGCTCTTGACTACATCTTTTGAACATGTAATACATATTTTGTTAGAAATGGCTAGATGTTTGTATGGTGCACCCATGCGCACGGCAAATAACATTTTGTGGTCTTTCTTTTAGATAGTATGTTTTCTCTTTCATAAATTTCCTTATTATATTATGTGTTATACTCTTTTTTTACTTTTTCTTTTATCTCGTAGTTTCTTTTTTCCAATGTACTATTCCTTTTTTTCTCCTCATTCTTTCTTTTCCACAACTCCACTAATCATCTTTTCTGAGTTACTAATCAATAATTCTATAAATGGATTTTAAATAAGTTGCTAATATAAATTTTTTACATATTTGGCGTATAAAAGTCAATTTATTTTCCAAACAAATCAATATTTTTTTCTTCCTTTCCCTTGAGTCCAACTCCATCCCAGTAGCTTTCAAACATTAATTGGCTTTGTCATCCCCAAAATTGCAAGTCCAATATCTGATTTTCCTGACTCGTCCCTCTCTTATTTGCCTGTAGCGGTGCACCTATCTTCTTGAAATCCTACATCCGCCTCTGACTACAAAGGAGTATGAATATTCAAGCTAATATGAACCTCAGACCATGCAAAATCTCATCATTTTGATGTGTTTTAGCATTCTAAATGACTAACTTTCCAACTAACAAGACAAAACTTGCTGAAATTCAAAATTTAAGATCTGAAAATGGTGCACCTGAGAGGTGACTAAAGAATAAGTTTCTAACACTCAGTGCCTCATAGATAGTGAAGAAAATTGGAAGTTCAGAGCCCCCCTTCCCGTCTAAATGATAATTGGAGCATTGCTTCTGACAAAAATAAAAGAAAAAAGAAACAAATAGAAAATAAAACTGCTACTAACAATCAAGTCTTCTAGAAATCCTTTTTTTCCACAAAAATTTAAAACCAAAAGTTCCCCATAAATCCTTAACAGAGAGCCAAAGCAGGACCACTGAATAACCTACAGCTTGCCATAGAAGGAGGACTAAGACTAGCTGTCCATCAGCATGAAACTGGTTAGATCACCATTAGACATATCTATATTAAGCCTAACAGTTCTCTTTTAATAAATATATGTTGTTCATCACACTCAGCACCTAGTGAGTGCTGTGGGCCGATAAGCCACAAAGCGCAAAAGCTAAGTCCATTTACTGCACTAAAGCCCAGCACTTACCAGAAAATTATAAGATTAGTCAGAAAATTCCTAAGAAGTACACGCACTATCAGAGAAGAAAATAATGGTAGAGATAGCAATTTTACTTATCAACAAATAAAATAAAAAATAAAAAAAAAGGTAGAGACAGCAATTTAGATATGAGAACTAGAGACTCTTTTTCACGAAGCATTCTAATTAAAATACCTACAAGTCTACAACCACGGTGAGTTAAAAGAAGAAAAGGGTATTTTTATAAGTAATAACTAACTGATGTTGTGGGATTTAGTACTAAATTACACGTAGTATACAATAAGTTGAGAGATACACCAATATATTGTTCCAAACAAAAATGAAATCTCTTCTTGTTTTTCTATTAAACGAGAAATTCGCTATTTCCAGCTTCAAAACTTGGTTATTAATGGGCTTGCCTCTCTATCCTTCTCCTCTTTAATACAAAATTGATTCACCAGCTAAAATTCGAACTCGTGAAACGTGTTTACCACACATCCACACTTGTACAACTTGGCCAGTGAACCAAACCCCGGAGTCCTAGATATATGATAATTATACTAAAGACCTCATGGATGCACCAAATACAGACTAGAAACAACTTATCTATACAAAACCAGGCATTTATCTATACAAAATCATTGTTGAAGAAAGAAAGGCTCTCCTTTTCCTTAAAACTGTCCACATAAGAGCCAAAGGAGTTACATAAATACACTTCAAAAGAATTTCCTTCTCCTGAAAGCCCAACCGAACATCACATCCTCATATTTAGCACCGTCTACCATAGCTGACTTGCAACCTCGCAATGCATTAATAGGTGATCCATGTCTCCTCAGAACGTTTGAACATGTAGAACTAGCTGACGTATGTTATCTTCTGATAAATGGACATTGGCTTAACTCAACCTCAGAAGCTAGCTCATGAGATGAGGATTACCCAAGACCATATAAAGAGGCCTTCCTATCCCTTAGTGGCCGATGTGGGACTCAACATCTTTCCGAATTTTCAGCTATGAGAATGTGCCCCCTTGCATCCAACCAAGTGAAAAAACATAATGAAGGAAAGAAGCACCCTTGATATTCCTCCAGGAACATCAACATCTTTTCTTTGATGACTTTAACCAAGAATATTCTAACGCTCTCGCGGGAAATGTTAAAATCGAACTTCAAAGCCTTGTTCTTTTGACAACTTTAACATTGCCCACCAATTCATGCGACCAAAGTAGCATCTAACATCTGCCTGTTTCCCAACAAATTTACTTTGGCTCAGAGATTGTCCCCATTCAAGATAGTACTGATCCTACGAAGGAGGTTATGGACAAATGTTGTAAACAGATTTGGCTCAGAGATTGTCCCCATCTGTTCTTACACTGCAGAGCTGCCACGCAATTGTGGCAATTATTTTTGAACATTGTGGGAATTAAATGGGTGATGCCAAGCACTACTGCTGAGTTACTGTCATGTTGGAATAGAAAAGGAATGTCAAAGCAAAAGAAGGACTGGAATACAATACCAGCAGCTATTTGGTGGTGCATATGGAAAGAAAGGAATAGGAGATGCTTTGAAGGACAGGAGAATTCATTCTAGAAGATCAAATCAGACTGCATTTTGTTGATATCTTTTTGGTGTAAACAGAATTGGATAGATGATAGTGAAACCCTACTAGAATTCATAGAGTCTTTTGTATAGACAGAGAGGAATTTCTTTTCTTTTTTTGTTGTTTTCTGGGATGTAACCACAGCACTCCCTTAGTGCTGATTTTTTGATATCTATAATACCTTACCATTTCAAAAAAAAGATTTGGCTTCTAGTATTGTCTAAGAGGCACTTCACACATTCATCCTAATTTTCTTTTGATGCTTTGTGATACCATTCTGATGGAGGAATTCCCAAGCCTCTTTCTATTAGCATGTGCGCCAAACTCCACAATCTCTCAGAATTGGGCAAACAACACTTGGGACATGCTTTTCAGAAGGAACCTACAAGACTGGGAAATTAAATAAGTGACAAACCTGCTTTCCAGACTAGAAAAGCGCATGATGAATGCCCAGGCAGCAGATAAGTTAAAGTGGAGTAGTGCCGATGGTAAATACTCAGTGAAAGCAGGCTATGCAAACTCATATGCTCCTAATGACGTGATTGATGACTGGCCATGGAAGTTGATATGGAAGACTAATCTCACAACAAAGATCAAATGTTTCAGCTGGACAGCCCTCTATGAAGCATACCTCACGCAGGACAATCTTAAGAAAAGAGGCTTCCAGATAGTCAATAGATGTTACATGTGCCAACAGAAACTTGAATCTAACAACCATCTTACATTGTAGAGTTGCTGCTGACCTATGGAATAGTATGTTTTTGTGTATTTTTGGTATTAACTGCATAATGCCACATAAACATGAAAGAGGCCTTTGAGTGCTGGTGTAACTGGAGAGTTGTTAAGGCCATCAGGCGAATCTGGAAGATGATTATTAACTCCAAATCATTCCCTCAAGGCTAGATGTCTTTTGTATCTTTATAGTTGGCATTACCTTTCCCCCTTAGATTCTCCTGACAACTTTTTGAACTTCATTAGCTCCCCGGTACTAGAATAATCTTTTTGTAATTGAGCTAACAAAGTTTTTTTTTTGCTTCCATAACTTTTGTATTATTATGCATCTTCTTGATGCCAGCAATGAAATCTATTATTACTTCATCAAAAAAAAAAAAAGGAAATGACTGACGTATGAGACAGAGTGTTGGTCAATCAAGAGCTCTCATGTCCAGAGGTTGCAAGTAATAGAAATGAGGATGCTAAGATTAGGAATGAAGATATTCAGGACAAGGTGGGAGTGGGCCACGTGGTGAACAAGCTGCGGGAAGCGAGCGAGATGGTTCATGGATGTAAAGAGGAGATGTCCAAATGCCCCAGTGAGAAGGTGTGAGAAGTTGGCCATGGTGGGTCTGAGGAGAGGTAGATGTAGGCCTAAAAAATATTAGGAAGAGGTGATAAGACATGATATGACACATCTGCAGCTTACTAAGGACATGTTCCTCGATAGGAAGGTGTGGATCGAGAATTAGGATAGAAGGCTAGTAGACAGTTGCAAGTGTATCCTTTTCTTACCTGTAGGATCATTAGTATTCTCATATTTTCTTATACTTAGATCTGTATTATTACCAGTTGTTGCTTTAGCTTCACTTTCTTGTTATCTTGCTGTTGTTGGTACTGTTTCGTGTTACTGTTCTCTTTCCATGGTTTATACACTATTATTTTCTTTTCAACAATGTTGTGACTATGCTTTTCCTGAGCCAAGGGTCTATCGGAAATAATCTCTCTACCTTCATAAGGTAGGGGTAAGAATACGTACACACTATCCTCTCCAGACCCCACTTGTGCGATTCCACCGGGTTTCTTGTTGTTGTTTTGGAAATGATTGATCATGATACTCTTATCAGGAACAATGATTTAGCTAGATTAACCAGCAAAGGGAAGTATAAGTCATCAATCCAAGGAAAGAAAATTGTGTGGTGCACATAATGACAGAACACATTGTTTGATTCCATGAGTTTTAAGATTGCCTAACTAAATATTTGCAGTTCCAATTAAGGAAAACATCATCAACAACCAAATGGTGTTAAAAACGGAAAGGTCATTACTGAACTAAAACAGATGATGGCCATACATAACACTGTGTTTCAATTGCACGAGCACGAAGAAGTATCTCCCAATGTGCCTGACCAGTCACCGTTGTGAAAGCGGCAGGCACTAACAAAACCTGGAATCAAATGGAAGTCTTTTCACTAACTTACAATTTGCTTTTGGAGAAAGAGAAACAAGAAGGGAAGCCGTAATACCTGTGCATCATGATTGAACCTCAGCTGTTGATACAGTTCAGGGAATCTTAAATCGTAGCAAACGGTGAGACCTAAACGTCCGCAAGCGCTGTCCGCCACAACAATATCATTTCCTATGAAGATTAGTGAGCAAGAGTTGATAAGTAAAAAGAAGTTAATGTGCCAATTATTAAATTATAAGACGTGATTAATTAGAAGAAGGTACCAATAGAATGCACCAGCGTCAATAAGACAATGAAATGCTACAATATAAATTTAAGAAGAAAGTCCATGTTTCAATTTGGACCGCTGATACTGACCTATCAAGAATTTTTGCTAACCCTAGTGGTAAAATCGCACATATTTGTATATGGCTCAATCTAAAACCCATTAAAATAACTATTACCCAAAAAGTCTTCTTTTTGTAATGATACTCAGAAAGTTTCTCACTCAAGGATATAGTTTTCAAGAAGCTAAGTCCAGTCATTTTCTAAGGGAAATAAATGCTAGCATGGTTATATTGTGTTTCCTACCAGCTTCAGTGAAACTGCTCTCTTTATAAACTGCACCTCCAGGAACATCCACGTCAAATCTATAAACACAGCAGAAACCACAATTAGTGTTCCAGGTTAGATCAAGGAGCAACAAAGGTCCATATGTCGTTCAGATTGTTTCACAGTGACTCATATATGGAAATTTGGCAAAACAAACCTAACACAATAGGAGTTAAATATATGTCTTCGCCTGCAAAGCCCTTCATGGGTCATTAAGTTCACATCCTTTTTTAAATAGTTAACTGCTTAGAAAATACATCCATCTTATCAGTTTATCGTACCTTGTCTCACAATTAACAGTCGAAAGTTTGTCCTCCACATAATTTTTTTTTTCTGGTAAGTTTGTCCTCTAAATAATTAGTCAAATGGTTTACAGAACAAATACATAATAAGTGGTCTTACTACTTGGTAGATAAGAGTAGGCATATAGAAACACAAATTCCATTTCAAAATTCTATTAAGAAAATAAGGAAATGTGAAGTAAAACAGTACTTGGATATCCTAGATGACTATATGCATGTGTTTCCGATTTATTCACAGAACACACACTTCAATAACTCAGCATTTAGAAAATGATGCTACAAATCAAGCACTTCATATTTCTAAAAAAAACAAATGACCACAATATCTGGTGTTTTTAATAGAGTAGTAGATTGTTCAATGCCTACAGAATATGACATAAGACATGTAGCTCTTTAATGTGTTGTAAGGTTGCCAACTCTACTTGTCCTGCAATATGTCATAAAGTGGTAGATCTGTTCTGACAAAACCCATAAATTCTCTGTCACTCATATTACGCTCACATGGTACAACAACAATAACAAACCCAGTGTAACCCCGTCTGGGGAGGGTAGTGTGTATGCTCACATGGTAAGTCTAACATTATTTCTTGTATTAGCACCTAACATTAGAAACCCATGGTAATGACTACTATCAAAACAGAAGCACAATATTGTTTCATTACCAACAGTATGAAAGTATTGAATAACTTAACATGACAACCTTAGTCTAACGTCTAACAAAGTCAAGTTTAAAAGTCTTACAGATGCATCTTACTGTACGTGCTCCTAATATTTCCATTATCATCAATGAGAACATGAGTGTTGCGCAAGTGTGCATCATCACTCCCTTTTTCTTGGAATCCTCCTAGCGACAACCAAATATTTGATTCCCTGCCAGTAATGGCAGAAAAGATGTCATTTGACAGAATCCACTAGCACTCATCTCAAGTTCAGGAATCACCCACTAGCTATCATGGAGAGAGAGAGAGAGAGAGAGAGAGAGAGAGAGAGAGAGAGAGAGAGAGAGAGAGAGAGAGAGAGAGAGAGAGATTGTTAGAGTACACCAGTATGTTTGATCACATAGTCATTAAGCATTGAAAAATGTCAAATAAAGAGAACAAATTGCAAAACGCATATTAGCGCTTCTAAAACAGGTTAATGTGCATTAGATGGGGAGAAGCCAACTTCTCTAACATGGTCACACCTTGCAAGAGAACGATAGCCTGTCATAATAGGTCCATCTAGGGTCTCAGCAATTTTAAGACTCTCTCCCTGTAGGTCTCCCACAAAAGAGAAATTTTCAGGAAAACATAGCAATTTAGCCCCTGCTGAAGCTGCTTCCTGGAATAGCAGATATGATATAGCAAAAAATAGTGCAAGATATCAGTACCAATCAACATTAAGTATAACATTTCAGAATGAAAGAAAATGTGAACCTCTCTCTACCTTTCGGGGGGGGGGGGGGAGGGTTGTATTTTGGTGACTTCATCACTCATGATAGCTTGCACAATTCGAAATATTATCAAAAGCAAATAAGAGTTAATTATTCTTTAAGTTTTTTCACTTTTAGTAACAGCGAGATATATTTCTGCAACCGCCATAATTGTTAGGAGCTGACAAAGATATTGTTCACATAAATCAGTCCATCTTGGGTCATGTGAGAAACTTTATTTTCCACAAAAGTTAGTGCCAACTAAATGACTCGAGTGGTTGAAGTTTTCAAGTGTTGGGAACGCATGAATATATGAAGGAACAACTTTAAATTTCAAGAAACTATAGTTCTTAAGCTGGAAAAATGGCTATATTCAATGCATTAGTGTTCTTTATATTCCTTATGTTGTCATTGCGAAAGCATGATGCAGTAGCACCAGCACGTCCAGAGCACACAAACCCATCTCCAAGCTTAAAAAGAAAATGTATGGATGGTCCCCAAATCAATTGAGAACACATTTTGCCCCAAAAACTGGTATGAATTAACTATGTTAGTTCTGCCGGTCTAGTAGTCTTCTCAGATCGAAAAAAGTATATTTGTGATTTTGCACTGTTGGACATTCCAGTTCTATATGCCAAGTGCTAAATATCTGCAGGTGTTATCAGATAAAAAGTTGGATGTAAATGCTTGAGAAGTCTGTGATGTGTCTAAATAAGAACTCGGGTCCTTCCACGTTCTTCTCCTCCTCCTGCTCCAAAGGTTTTCCTGTTTTACTACTTTCAGCCTATACTCACAACAATTAACCAGCCTTTTCTGGACAACCCAATGGCCATTCCTTTCTGGATTTCTTTTGTGCAAAAAAAAAAGAGAGGCAGAAATCCTCTTTTTTTTTTTTTTTCAAATAGCTGATCCCAAATGATTTGGGATTGAAGCATAATTGATTTAATGACTGACTAGCGTATACTTCTGATTCATGATATGAGTAGCTCTGGGAGGAGGAAAGTTGCTCCTAAAATATCACTAGTCTTATAAGAATTAAACAAGAACAAAAGCCATTCATCGTTGAACAACATTGCCAGATCATTTTGCTCCTAAACCTAATTCTAACAAAGTTTTGCAACTTATGGATATAAATCAAACCAAAAATTAGCTCAATCAAGCTCCTGCAAATCAAGCATCACGAAAATCATACTCCAAATCCTAGTATTGAATACGTCTATAGCAACAACACAATAACTACGCCTCAGTCCCAAACAAGTCGTATGAATCCTCACTCCATTTAAACTCATCTCGTGCTAGGATTGAATATTTCTCTCAATGAAAAATTGCTCTTGAATATCACTAGCCTTATAAGAATGAACTATTAGTAAAGTCAACCATCGTTGACCAAATATCACTAGCCTATAAGAATGAATGTGAATAAAGTCAACCATCGTTGACCAACAATGCCAAATCATTTTTCTCTATGAGCTACTTCTAACAAACTTTAGCAACATCTGAACTGAACCTTCCCTGAGTTCGAATATAAATTAAAATTTAAAATTAGCTCAAATTTCAGCTCCTCCAAATCCAGCTTCAATTATGATGACGTGTCAATGATCAATGTAAAATACAAAATTCTCTACTCGTTTTAGCAAACTAATACTGTAAATATACGTAATAATACTTGGCATGTATACATAAATATCAAATTAGAATGCAAAAAGAGAATGTATGAGCGCGAAGTACATACCTTAACGAGGCGAGAGCAAGTAGCGAAGTTAACGGCGAGATTATTAACGGACGTCATCTGAGCAGCGGCGACTCTAACGGAGTTGGCCATGGCTATGGATTTTCCGGCAGATGCCACTGTGAAGTTGTAACGGGTGCTTAATTGTGTATTCAGACAGAAATTCATTGACGTGACTTGGCTATTCTAAATTATAAATTTTTATTAATATTCCTTTCGTCCCCAAAAAATGGCAATGTCAAATTTTAGACATGGATTTTAATTTTTTAAAGGAAGTATATATGTTTAAAATTGCACTTAGTACCATAAATTATTTTGATGGTGAAAATATTTCCCAAATTGTGAAGATAAATTAGCCAACTAAAAACAAATAGTATTATAAATAGCTATGTAATATATCTCAGCCACGGATACATTAATTCTGAAATAACACTTAAACTCATTATAAAATAAAATTTATATCTTTAATATTTTAAATAAAAATATAAGAGTTTAGAGATTAATTTAAATATATTTCTATTATATAGAAAAGGAAAGATGGTTGACCAATGGCATATATGTCATTTCATAAAAATTTCATGTTTGCATTTCTTAAACGGAAAAGGCTTAAAAATGCCACTCAACTTTCAGAAATGGTCTATCCATGTCATCCGTTAAAAAATTGCTATTTACATGCCACTACCGTTACAGAAATGGCTCATCTATGCCATTATTAAACTAACGGCACGATTTTTTTTTATTTTTTTAACACTAACATTTCCATGTATAATGTCTTCGTTGGTCCGAATTAACACATGCCCCACTTAATTTTAACCTCAGTTAGGTCAATTATACAACTATATCCCTCATCTTCCCTATCTAAAGTCCTAAACCACCATAGCTGTCGTCCATCTCCTCTCTCCACCGTAGCCTCTTTCCCCACGCCTTTTACTTAATGACAAGGCTTAACTAACCAAAATCACCAGAAAACACACCCAAAAATTCATCTTTTCCGGTGAATTTGAATCAAAACTTTTAAGGCCAGATCCAAGATTCCGACTTCGCCATGACAAAAGCTCTAAGATTCTCCGGGAAAAAAAATAATCTTCTATGCAAAAGCTTGAGGCAAGTTTTAATTGTTGGGGGAGGTATAAAAAATTTTAATTACTGAATCAAATCATAATTTCTCGCCAAAAGATCTGCAAAAAAACTAAAAATTAATCAATGAGAAGAGGCGTGGTGTGTTTATTTGAGATGAAGGAGTTCGGGCGGTAGAGAGAAGTGGGTCTAAGTGCCAAGGTCTCAAAGAGCAGCCATGGCAGAAGTTTTCAAACAAGGAAGAAGATGACTTAATTTAAAAAATCTAAAAATCTAACCGGGGTGGGGTTTGGGTTAATCGACCTAACCGGATTAAAATTAAGTGGGGCATGGGTTAATTCGGACCAATGAAGACATTACACGTGAAAATGTTAGTGTTAAAAAAAATTTAAAAAAATTGTGCCGTTAGTTTAATAATGGCATAGATGAGCCATTTCTGTAACGACAGTGGCATGGAAATAGCATTTTTTTAACGGATGGCATGGATAGACCATTTCTGAAAGTTGAATGGCATTTTTAGGCCTTTTTCGTTTCTTAAATACAAAATACACGTGGACCCCACATTCCTCTAGCCACAACTCTCCTTTAAATGCACAATGCATGCGTTGATTAGACTATTTGTGGAGTGCAAATGCTCATTTCCACTCTTTTCTCATTTTGGAAAATTATTAATTTTATTTTATTCAAATAGAAGTTTTCATAGAGAAAATAAAATTAATTTTTAAATAATACAACAACAAAAAGAAGTATCCATATTTACAAGATTTTCATATTTAAGCATACTATCTTAAAGCAATTTGAAAATAAAAATTAAATGATTTTCATCTATCCATACTATTTGAATACGATTTCAAACTAAATATTTTTATATTCAAGAGTAATTTTAAAAAATATAGCTCGTTAAGCCTCAAAAGTTAATTAACTAAACACCAACAAATAATAATTTTAATAAAATTGCAATGTTGGGCCCGTTTCCTCATCTAGTAATGAACATATTCGTTTTTGAGGCACTAATAGTAATTATTTTATATAGGTTTTTTATTCTAAATTATTTTTGAGAAGAACACACACACTTTTTTTTTTTGTTTCCCACCCGATGTCCGGTACCCGCATTGGAGCCCGACTATATCCAAATTCGCGCCGCGTAGGGCCCCTTTCGGGGGGAAGCGCTCCCTGCCATGGATTTTTCTATACCCAGGGCTCGAACTCGAGACCTCTAGTTCAGAGAGGAGCAGTCTCATCCACTGCACCACATCCTTTGGCGGTAGGAACACACACACTTGTAGATGGGGATAAAAGACACAATGCCATATAATAAAGAAGTTACTCAATTTGGTGCAATTTAAGCCTCTAAAATTTGGGATTTTTTCATTCCTATATACTATTTGAAACTTTATTGCCCTTAATATCTATGTTTAGTTAATTATCCCGCATAAACAAGTTTTATTTACAAAATATATACAATCCACCTTAAAAGGCTCCCAATCCATTATTTGTGCATTCAATCAAGGGATTTAAAATCTCAAAATCCTCGTCTTCCTCAGTTTCTCAAATCCTCATCCATTTTCTCTTTCTTTGGTTTCCTCCACCCTATCTCAACAAAATCGTCCAGGTGCAATAGAACCTACCAAGAATAATATTGAACAAACAATTGAATTTTTGAGAAAGGCTTGATTGATATTACAGTGGTGCTAATAGCATCAACACAAGTTGATATTCTGAAAGTTGATTTAAAGCTAAAGTAATCGTTACTGGAAATAAAATTTTCAATAAGGATCTTATGTGGCGACACCTTTAATCGCCACCAAAAATAGTATTATATATTGTTGTTTAGAGTATCGACCTACCTAAAATTTATTTTGGTGGTGCATTTGTTTACAGTATTGGCTAAAGTATTGACTTTTTTCATAGAAAATATTGCTAATTCAAATTATTAATTTCGTAACAACATTGACAAACTACAACACCAATTGCAGTTGGATCAAAAAGTATGATTGAGCAGATTTGAAATTTTAGCAGATTTCAAATTAAATTCAATCGCCTCCAAACTTTAAAGTCAACTTTGTATTAGTATTTATAACAAGAATATATGCTGCCCAGTTAATTTCTCACACAAAATTTAAATTTCACATAAAACTCAGTTTCTCCGAAGTGCGACTGTGGCGCTTTTAATGTGAAACTCGAAATTTCTCCACCAAAATCATTCAATTCCATCAATATTCAAGTTTTTTTGTTCAAACAGAAATGAATTAGTGCACATGCGTTGATTTGGAATTTATTCTCTACTTTTCTTTCCTTAATAAATCAACTAATCAGAAAAGAACAATGTATGGTACTTCACATACGATTAAAAATAAAATTCGAACAAATTTAATGCAAATTTGAATATCTACAACAACTTACATAGTAAAAATAAATTTTATACAACTAATTATATAGTATACAACTTATCTACAACTTTCATACATTAATTTTTTTCCAGTTAAATACATCTAAAATATCATACAACCTAAATACATTTTCTATACAAATTTTATACAATATGTCTTTTGTATATTTTGTATCTGATTTATACATAGTAAAAATAAATTTCATACAACTAATTATATAGTATACAACTTATCTACAAATTATCTACAACTTTCATACATTATTTCTACCCAGTTATATACAATTACAATATCATACATCTTAAATATAATTTTTATGCAATATTGTTCAACTTTCATACAATATTTGAATAAAAAATATATATAAATAACATAATACAATTTTACTACAACTTGACTACAATTTATGCAGTATAATATATGTCATGTCTTCTTCTTCTTCTTCTTATTCGAGTTTCAATCTGAAATTCAATCAAATTCACCAAAACACCCTCAAAATTGAGATATAAACTTCAAACCATATTCGAATTGTTTGCAACAACACCCAATCCAAACAAATAATGATTTTTGAAAACCCAATTCGAATTCAAAGCTTCAAAGTTTTTTAATGGCTGTCAATGGTGGAATTGCTGCTCTCTTTTCCTTTGCTTTACATTACTGAAATTAGAGACTGAAAGATAGAGAGAGACGTAGAGAGAATTCTCAATTGTTTGCAATAACACCCAATTCAAACAAATAATATTTTTTGAAAACCCAATTCGAATTCAAAACTTCTAAGCTTTTTAATGGCTATCAATGGTGGAATTGCTGCTCTCTTGTGCAAGATACGTGGGGGGGGGGGGGGTAGGGGGGAAGGGGGATACAGAGAGAGAAACATGAGGGGGAGGGGGAGTGATTGGAGGAATTGATTAATTATCCTTAAATCCTAAAAATGTACATAATTGGTAATTTTGTATATAGAAGGCAATTAAAGTGAATCTTGAATAGGGAGGATAATAAATTTTCCAATAGTGTATATTTATGTAAAAATCTCTTAAAATTTTAGTTGAACACTTAGCAAAATTACTTGAGCCTATATGAGACTATGAGTGGAGATGGTTCCATCTCACGAGGATGAGGAAATATGGGAGCAGGGGTGGATTTACGTACAAAAATTGGGTGCTCGAGCGCCCATTAATCTCGAATCGGAATGTGTATAGTTATATAGATAAATTAAGAAAAAGGATATAATAAAATAAAAAGCACCCAAGTAACAAAGAGCCTAGTGGGTGCTCTGGTTTATGATGGGTGCTGGAGAGCTATAAAGCCAAATGGTAAGGGATCAAATCTCACTCTATGCAAGGATTTTTCCCTCAATTTTTTCTTATATTATCATGCATTTTCTTTTGCCCCTATTATAAGGTCTTCTTTTTGTTCTTTTCAGTTTTCACTAGCTACATTTTTGAGCCAATACTACTTTTATTCTTTTGCTTCTGACTTCGTTTTATCTTTTTTTGCTTTTCTTTTCTTACTTTATCTACTAAATTATAGCAAAGAAAGAAAAGGAATATTTTCTTTACAAAAACAAAGAATCCTTCCAGAACTGCAAAATCCACTAATCTTTTTTCTCGCTAATTGTGTTATCCATCATAGTTTCACGGCGTCAATAAAATTAATATTACGGTTTTCTAATTAAATTTTTTTCGTTGTATTTTAATAGTTGCATACTTATATGATGGGATTGATAGTAATTTTACGTCAAAAAAAGTTAAGCACCCACGAACCTAATGT